TTGGCGACTAGTTTTTCAAATAGTTTTGCGATGCATGGGAGAAGGGACATTGGACGATAATTCGTTGGCTGAGTTGGGCAGCCTCTCTTCTTGAAGATGGGGATGATTGTTGCCATCTTACAAGCCTTGGGACACACACCTTGTTCCAGACTGTAGTTGAACAGGATGGCCAGAGGCGTACAAAGAAGATCCGCACATTTGCTGAGAACAGAGTATGTGATACGCTTGTCTGCACCCGATTTGTGCACAGGTAATGTTCTTGCAGCATCGTATACTTGTGCAGGAGTGATCACAGTGAACCTGAAGTGATCTTCTTCTTCACTGGCAATGGTGGTACACGGAGGTGGTCGGTTTCCAAAATTGATGATTATTGGGATTCTGATTGCACTGAGCGCTGAAGAAGCGACAAAGAGCATCAGCTTTTGCCTCGCTGGATGTATGATTTCCAACATCATCCTTTAGGAGTTGTATATCATGTAGGGACCGGCGGATTCTGCTCGAAAAGGTGGCAGATTCTGCTCGAAGAGCAGTGAAATTGGCAGAACCATACAAACCTTATGGCGGGAAATTCCTCGAATTCTGCTCCATTTCGTTATCCACATACCAAACATGCATGAAACTTACCAGAAAAGTGCCGAATTCTGCCAATTTTTCTGCCGGCAGAATCCGCCGGACCCTAATATCATTTAGCTTCTTGCCATCAATATTGCACAGGTGTTTCGCTCGTTTCCACCACAAGTAACCTCCTGTTCTACCTTTGCTTAGTGTTGATGTACCTAGTGCAGACAAGTAGGAATCTCAAGCGCGTCGGATGGTTTTTCTGCGTTTCTATAGAGCGTGTATGCAGCTTTGAGGGTGGGATTACACAAGTCTCGGCGATGTAACTTGTACAGGCGGTTGACACGCTGTCTGAGTTTCTTGTGTGCAATTTTGAATCAAGGTTGGTTATTTGCGTTGTACGGTTTGGAAAACAAAATTGTTGATCGACTGATGGCCATACTAAGGACGAGCAAAGTGCCAGGCATCTATAGACTATAGTCGATGTGTGCCTCACCACCAATGCACTCCAAAGGCATAGTGCTCAGTCTGGTGCGCAACATGACAAAATCAATGTTTCCGTTTTTGTATGTCGGTTTTCGTGGTGCACCGGTGGTGGCGTTGCATGCTCCTGGTGTTGAAACTGACCTGTACTGTGGATGGTAGACAAAGCCGACCACGAGATGGAGCATACAAATTACAATGTCAGATGAACCTGTTTGCCCGCCGTACTTTCGTTGTCGGTGTTATTCAGCCTGATCTAGAATATGCTCTCCCTGTATACCTTTCGTTTATATCCGCTAAAAATAGAAACAAGCTAGCCTCACTCCACCGGCGCGCTGTACGAGTTGCTTGTGGCGCATCACCCCAAGCTATTAATATCACGCCACTTCTTCACCACCTCAATGTTTCCTCTTTCCAATATCGATCAGTATTTTTGTTCCTTGTATTCATTTTCCACTGTTACTGTATTAAGCCGGCTGTTTGCTTGCAGTCCCTCTTTCCCATCTGTACGTCTACCCGAACTACTCGCGGCTCTACAACTCATAACATGAGTATCAATCGCTATAGATCTATGTCTGGCTTTCTGTCCTTTTCAAGTAAATCGGCTCTTGTTTGGAATTATTTACCAGACGACCTGAAGTCCTGCACTACTATCGCAGATTTCCGCGTCAAATTGGCTATTTGGCTAAAAGACAGCTTAACTCTTAATCATTGTTGTGATTTGCTTTCAAGCAATGTGCATAATCAGTAACTTGATGTTGCTGTTTTTGTTTTTTTGGTTTCCCGTTCTCGGGGCCTTCTATTCCGTACTCTTTGTAGTTGTACTTCTGTACTGTTGAGCTATCCGAATTCAAATAAACATTAAAAAAAATGTATGTCACGTGACTGAAGTGCCTACTTCTACTGCTATCGCTGGATGTTGGATGTTGGCTTAGAGGTCGGTTTGGGATTCTGGAGCTTTGGAGAAGTGACTTGGTGGCTTGCTTTGATTGGACACGGGAGAAGAAGCCTTGGATGCGACCGCTGCTTTGCTGCTGTTTTCCAGTGTTGTGCTGGGTTTTGTTTCTTTTTTTCCTTGTGTCTGGCGTGTATTTTGAGTTAGCAGAGTTTCACCATCTTGTGGCATCTTCATCATCCCTGGACTCGCACTCCTCGCGTTGGGATGCCGTGCGGCTGGAGGTGGTATTGCTAGCTTCTCCCTTACAGGTCGGCGGAGCGCGGTGTTCATTACCGATAATGCCTTGTTATCGCCCCTCCCCCCGAGACACACACATCATAGCACCATAGAATGGGGTTGCATTTTTGCTGTTTTTGCCATGTGATTAAGCAATCACGATTGAAACGAGGGTTGCCTGCTGCTCCTCGTTGCTAGTCTTGAAGAAAAAAGAAAAAAAAATCACGCCCATCTGCTGCTGCTGCTAGCTGCCAATATTGATGCTGTCCCTGCGTTCGCCACCTCCAACTGCTGAGGTGCCTCGTGCTGTGGCACTACCACACCTTGGTCCGCCCTGCGTTGATCCGGCCTCGTACTCTCGTACTCTGCTCATGCTGCCGTACTCTCGCGTTGTGGCCTCGTGGGTACGTCTTACGCTATTTGCGCTTGCCACGTGCTTATGTGGCCCGCCTTACCTGGTGGGCTCTCGCGCCTTATTTCCCATATAAGCATGGTGGTGTCTGTCATTGTGGGCCGCGCCGGGCGGCATCCGGGGACTTCGCCTCTTCCATACGTTGTATGTTTGCTCCGCCACACCGCCTGTTCTATCTTGCGTACTCGGTTAGTACTGTACCTTGGCTGAGGCTTAGTACGCGCGCTGGAGTCCTTTCGTGCCATAAAAGGAACTGCTTCCTAATATAGAGATTAGGCGCCATGAGCCCTGCTTGTAGTAAACATTGCATTAGTAGCGCCAAGAGTACATAAGTATAGGATATTACCCAAGTACGAGGGTGTTACCTCCCGAATATCATCCCGACTGCGTAGCAGGAGGGATGATATGAGGGTACGGTAACATCCGAGTACGCGGGTCAATATCCTACTTATCCCAGGTACATCTACGCATTTTGGAGATCGACGCAACTGCGTTCTGAATACAATTACCAAGGTACAGCTATACCAAAAACAAGATGCTGCCTTTCTTTTCAATCCAATCAAGGTTTGAGAGCGATGGAGCTCGGGAGACAAGTTGCATTTTTGTAGTTGGACTAGAGAATTGACGAAGATTGTACTGTTATGATACATAGTCATTTGGTTCAAAGTAAGGGCCATACTTCAAGTCACGGTGAGATACAACGTCATTGTGGATGCTGGTGCTGACTTCCTTGTCATTGGATCGGCGTGGAACTTTCAACGGTTTGGGATCCTTGCTGAACACTGTCCGTGCAGGCAGTAACCACATTGTACATATCGTCGGACATAGGCACCAGTGAGTAAAGTGCATTTCGTTGTATCAAGACTCTTGGTTGTATCACTATCGGCCACTATGCAATCAGAAGAATGTTAATCTTGTTATATTATAGGCATACTGGATTTGTAGCAGCATCTACGTTTTAGATTGTTCTTGTGGTAATCGAGCTGGATACGATGTCATGATAGTCACTGCGGGTCGCATCTTGCATCCATATCTTATCTACATCACACATGGATTGCTGAGCTCTTCTTCTTTCACACTGTTGAATATTCTGTACAAGATTTTTCCTCTCACTTTCACGTCTTGTACTTTTCGAGTTGTTGCGGTATCTCTCCTTGCAATTACATGTAGTAATTTTCACTCGGATGGTGATACTTTGTGTAGTTTTCGAGTTTACAAAGAGTGAATGAGAACTGATGCACTTCGAAGTCTCCTTTGTGTCGTAGTGTTGAGTTGAATAGTGATTGGAGTTCATTGTTTGTTTGTGTGGAATCTGGTTTTGGACATAGTCGCGGAGGTAAGTTCTCTCCGTTCACTTTTACTGTACCGACGGTGCACTCTGCATTGGCATGCTCTCACCCTCTCACGGTTCTGTGTAGTGCATTTTGTCGCTGGGTTC